TGGTAAAATTCTCTTATATAATAGTGTATATTTTGTTTATAATGCCAGGTAACTTAATTTTTCTTATTACTAATATTTACAAGTCCATAATTATAAACAATACTGTATTATCTTATATTTCATATATCTGCATGAACAAAATTAAACCTAAGGGATTAAACTCTTACAGTTTTGTGAGCAATTTACTATCCATTCCAGTGCTTATCTGCCAGGGGCTGTTCAGCTTATGCTCAAAACCATTCTGATGATGGAAAACTCCCTTTCTTCTAAGCAGTTTATTCTGCCTTTGGGAGGCTTCTGGTTATTAAAAAAAGTTCATCTCTATTTTAAGCCAAAATCTGTTGCTTCCACTTACTGGTTCTAATTATATCCCATGGAGGATGTATTGAATACGTGTAATCTTTTTTGTGATAGCCCTTCAATTATTTGAAAACTCACCAAGTTTTCTCTGACATTTCAATTTTCCAGGCTGAGAATCCCTAGTAAGCTATCTGGTAATGATAACCATTTACTATTCTGGTCATTTCCCAGGAATCCGTTTGAGTTTGCTTATGTAGTTATAAAAGGTGGTACCTAGAAATGAAAGCTTTGGCTCTCTTTACTGTATAGGAGAGCTGCACTGTCCTCTTTAGTACTTAGTTTTTTATTTTATTGCATCTTTATGATTTAAGTTTTTCCCCAAGCACTTCACACTTTATCTCATATGACTTAATAACTAAAATACCTAGTTGTTCCTCTTCCACTCCATCTTTCACAAGTGCTGTTGGCAAATCATGTCTTATGCCTGCTTTATTTTGTAGTTTATGGTTTCTTTGTGTTTTGCCCACTGGCCTCTTCAGCCCCACGCACACTGCGCCGCATACGCACAAGGGTAATTGGAGTTGGGGCACTCTGATGTTTTATTGGCAGATTATGTACTTGCTTGGTTGAGAAGTACTTAATGGAACTTAGATTCAGGGAATTTGGCCTGTTTTCTAAGGTAGGGATGAAGTTGGTCACTAAGTGTTCTTTGTACTGAAACTATTTTCAAAATCTGTTCTTTCTTTCGCTGTCTCTGGTGTGAAAGGAGATTTCAGTCTCATTTTTCTTTCACTGTTTCTAGAATGCTAGTAACATAGCATAGGGTAAAGTCTAGCTCTGACAAGATATATTCATTCAGTCTACAAACCCCTCATCAACAGTGGCAACTGGTGCAGTAAAGTACCACATGAACAATCTTGCTTGCCTTGGAGACTTTTTTAAATAGCCCCTTACTATTTTAATATGATTTTCTTTGGTTAGGTGATTTAAACGTTTTTACTGCATTAATTTTGCATAGCAGGTTATTGCAAGGTGTTCAGGTAATGTAGCATTGGCACATTTAATTAAGATAGAAAAGAGAATACATATTTTGCCTTTTCTTCTTGATTTATGACATTGGGGCATATTACTTCTGTAGTTCAGATTTTTTTTACTGAACTGTAATTTTCAAGTACATACCTTTTTTATTTTTAAAAATAAATATGAAATCTTATAAGATTTAAGAAAAATTGCCTCTCAAGTATAAATTTACCCATTTTTCTGTTAAATGTGAAATTATAAACCTTGCTTCTACCATATAATTTACAGCCTAACAGATTTTAGAAAGTAATTTGCCCTTTCAGACAATTTCAAGCATTAAGAATATTTGTGTATGGTAGTTGATTTGCTGTGGTGGTTGTTATTTTTATTGGTTTTTGATTTGATTCAGTTGCTTCCTGTAGAAGATGTTGAGTAATCATTGTTCAGAAATGATTCCGTCTTGCTGTTTTATATAATTATAGTCTGTAAACCATATTATTACAGAAATCGCAAGGGGTTTTTTTCTAGATTTTTAGCTGGTAAAATTTTAATTGACTTACAGTGTCCTGTTTAGAAAAATAATGCAGCAACAATGAGATAGATTTGGTGTTTAGTTAAGAGAAATATAAAGTCACAGTTAAGTCATTAGAAAAGCCATTACTAAGTTGAAAATTCACCACAACAGTCAGACCAGTGTTGAATTAAATTGTAGCATTTGGACTCAGTGTAGAGAGTCTGAATTGGTTTATTAACAGCAGTGCAATAAAACAGTATAACAGTGATAGTATTATGTATCACAGTGATTTCCAACAAATTGAAGTTTGTTTAGCTTGATGTCTGGTGAAGTAAGTGTTTAGTCGACTGTGTTTATTCAGGTTACCTAACATGAATAGGTATTGTTTCAGGGTCTCTCATGCAGTATTACCAGATTGCTGGATCTAAGTAAAGCTATAGGTACATCATGAGATCATATTTGTCCCATTTCTTCATGCTTATTTTTATCACAGATGTAAATATTTCTATGCCCATTATGATAAAACATGAAAAAAATTGCCATAAATCATTTTGTCTCTTTTCTTTAAAGTGTGGGTTTAAGTACGTATATTGAAATAAATTTCAAAGGAAAAGTCTTAAAAAATTTTTTTCATGTACCGTTGGAACAGATTTCTTTTTTATTCTTGTTTAGGTAATAGCCCATTTCAAGTCTTTGTAAATAAATGGAAATAGATCTATGAGGAAAGTTGACTTATGATTACTAACAAATTACCCTGAAACTTAATTTAGTAGCACAGCAGACATTTATCACCTCATGACCTTTATCATTCCTGTGTCAGGAATTTAGAAGCAGGTTAGCTGAGTATTTCTGCCTCGGAATCACGAGATTGCAGTTAAGCTGTTGATCAGTTCTGTAGTCTTCTCAAGGTTCTACTGAGACTGTAGAATCGGCTTCCAAGCTCACTCACATGTGGTTATTGGCAAGAGACTCATTTTTCTGGCTGTTGGCTAGAGCTCTCATTTCATTGCCACATGGTGCTTTCCATAAGGCTACTTGAGTGTCCTTGGAACATGGCAGCTGATTTCTCTAGAAGTGAATACAGAAAGAGAGCATTCTTCTGCTGTTCTGTTTAGTTAAGCACCTAAATTGAGCCCTCTCTCAAAGGGTGGGGAATCAGGCTGTACCTTCTGAAGAGAAGAGTGAAGAATTTGAAGACAATACTTATCACAGCAATGTAGACTAGGAAGTCTTACAGTATATGATAAATGCTATATACTATTTTCTTAATAGAGTAGTTGTCAATTCTGACACTGTATTAGTTAGACTTAACCTGCAGCCTTTATGAAACATTGAAGCAAAACATAGATGGTTGTATTAGGCCTGTTGATTGACTTGCATTCAGGTTTTTCCATAGGTGTTTCTATTGTACAACCAAAGCTGTTCACTGTCTTTTTTTAAGATGTACTTTTTGATTCAGTGACATAGGTTATCGCTATACTTTTGTAGAACTGTTACAGAATAGAGCTAAATACAGTATGTACAGTTCATAGCACAAACTAGATTAGTAGATATTAATGCTTGGCTATTGCTAGTATTTTATTGTTATTCACCCTGACTTGTAAAATGGTCATTAATTAAATACGTAACAATCTTAGCTTAGTTGAAAAAGAGTTATCTGACTTTTTGTTAGGGTGGGCATGGCCCAGGCATCAAAAACTTTCTCCCCTCACTCTGTTCCTCCTTCACTTGTCCCCACTACCTGCTCCCCCCACTCAAAAAAAAGAAAAAAAAGAAAAAAAAAGAAAAAGAAAAAAACAACCAATAACCATAATTATTTGTTTATACTTTCACATATTTGTTACTCAAACATAAGCCAATCCAAATATATAATTTCTTCTCTTTTTCCCACACAAATGGTAACATACCTGGTTTTCTCTACCTTTTTAAACTTGCCTCTTAAATTTAACAAATTCATAGGGAACATTTCTGTAGTAGGAAAACTTCTTCATTCTTTTTTGCATTTTTTTGGTGTATCCCATTCCTTGTGTAGATTTACTATACTATAATTGCTTTTTCCAGTCCTCTGTAAATGGACATTTGCATTTTTATTTTCAATCAGTGTGACAGTGAATGACTTGTACATGTGTCATTTTGAGTATGTAAGTATGTCTGTGAGGCAACTTCAGAGAAGTAGAACTGCTGTCCGTTGTACTTGGGATTGTAAGCTGCCATACCTTAGGGGCTACTGCTTTCCTCACAGCAGCCACGGTGTTTGAGAAAAACTGCTTGTATGCTCATAGCCTTATCTCCAGAATATATTTTCATCTTTTTTAGATTTTTGCCAATTTTATAACCAAAAAAATAGAATTTCAGTATAGCTTAAGTTTGAATTTATCTTATGGATGAGGGTGTATTTTTACTCATATTCAGACTGACTTTTCTTTTTCTGTTCAGCATCTATTTGTATTCTTTGTCTTTTTTCTTTTATGGTTTTGGTCTTACTAATTGATAGAAACTCTGCATATTAGGAGAATTCACCTTTTGCAAAAAACAATTTGAGCTTTTTTTATTTGTCTTTTGACTCTTCATTCTGAAGTTTTGCCTTTTTTTTGTACAATCAAATTACTCTTGTGATAACTTGCCATAACTCAAAAAGTCTTCATTATTCCAGAGTTCTAAAGTAACTGTCTTATTTTTTTCCGGATACTTTAATGCCCTTTATAAAAGCTAAAGTTTCTGTTGTTAATGTACTATGTAGTGGGTTTTCAGGTTTTATTTTAGTGCCCTCTCTGTCTGGATTTTCTTAGCTAATTTAGTTATTGGGATGGAGGGGAAGCCTTTTTGGATTTTTATTGGTGCCGCACTAATACTACGTTTTTGATGTTTTGATACTGTTTTTACTTTGTTAAAACTTCTCTTTTAAATAATAGTAAAGCCTGCTGAGTTTTTAATACATATGTTAGTATATATGTGGAAGGATACTGAGTAATGGCCACATATATCATGTAAAATACATTACTATAAGAGAGAACTTCGATTTCTTCATTGCTTTATGGGCTAGGTGCTTTTTACATATATTAACTCACTTAACTACCATACTGACTGAGTCAGTTTTATAACTGGAGTTTTTAGAATGTGTAATTGCTTATGGTTAAATTTCCTTCAACATTGTTTTTTTCTTCAGCTGTGATGCAGATCCATCAGCCCTAGCAAAATATGTTCTCGCTTTGGTAAAGAAAGATAAAAGTGAAAAAGAGTTAAAGGCATTATGTATTGATCAACTGGATGTATTTCTTCAAAAAGGTAAAAAAAATCTTTGGTTTAAAAATACTAGTTTATTTCAATAAATCATTTAAAGGAAGATTTTCCACAATATGAAAGAAACTCAGAGAACAGGCTCTAATTGTCATAAACAGTATTATTACTGATGTTAGCCATATATGGAAGCTTTTTTTCCCTTAACATCTTTATTCTCTCTTTTAAAGCATGCTGATACTTTTCCTTAAAAGATTAAATGACTGAATGCTTGTTTATTTAAAAATAGTACTGCTTAAGAAACTGCTTTGAATGTTGTCTAGATAGTGCTTCTAACTTTTTTCATGTTGCCACCATCTAGATAATGATGATATTTATGTTTGGCACACAGGGCACGGGGTACATGGAGACAAGTCATGGCTGGAAGCAACTGGCCTAGAAGCCCTGGCCATCCTAGTCCCTCTACCCTGAAATTGAATGGATTAGTATTACCATAGGATTTGTGCCATGGCACACTGGTTGGAAAGCTCTTGGTGTTATAGTGTTCTAGATTTATGAAAGTCAGTGTATATTCCATCATATTGAACTCTGATGTGTAGAGGGGAAGAATTGATGTCTTAGCAAATCTCTTTAATCTGTGGTTTTTTTTTTTTTTTTTTGGTTTTATTTGTAGAGACACAGATATTTGTGGAAAAACTTTTTGATGCTGTGAATACAAAGAGTTATCTACCTCCTCCAGAGCAGCCATCATCAGGAAGCTTAAAGGTAGAATTTTTTCAGCACCAAGAAAAAGATATAAAAAAAGAAGAGGTAAGGATTTGTGTTAAACCTTGGATGTTCTTTAAAAGCATATAAGGAGGGGCGCCTGGGTGGCTCAGTCGGTTAAGCGTCCGACTTCAGCTCAGGTCACAATCTCACGGTCCGTGAGTTCGAGCCCCGTGTCGGGCTCTGGGCTGATAGCTCAGAGCCTGGATCCTGCTTCCGATTCTGTGTCTCCCTCTCTCTCTGCCCCTCCCCCGTTCATGCTCTGTCTCTCTCTGTCTCAAAAATAAATAAATGTTTAAAAAAAATTTTTTTAAAGCATATAAGGAATTAGGGGTGCCTGGGTGGCTTAGTTGGTTAAATGTCCGACTTCGACTCAGGTCATGACCTTACGGTTCATGAACAAGTTTGAACCTTTCATCGGGTTCTGTGCTGACTGCTCAGAGCCTGGAGCCAACTTTAGATTCTTTGTCTCCCTGTCTCTCTCTCTCTCTGCTCCTCCCCCCACTCATGGTCTGTCTGTCTGTCTCTCTCTCTCTCAAAAATAAACATTAAAAAAATTTTTTTAAACATACATGGAATAATTAAACTGAATTTTACTTTTTGTATTTGTATTGAGATTTCTCAAGAACATCCCTTGGAGCAGTCATAGGATTTAGCCTGTTGTCATACTCACGGCTGTGATTTCTTACAGCAGAATCAGCATAGGGAAAAGGAAAAAGTGGGTGTTGCAAAGTCTGGGGGAAAATAGGCACAAGCTTCCATAGGCTTCTCCCAGTGGAATCACAGAAGATCTTAACAAGTAGTTCAACACATGTGAACCAGGAAAGCTCTTAGCGACTCAGTGCCCAGGGTTTCAATTTAGGGCTGGTCACACATGAACCTTCGGCCTAATATGTACCAACATTTCAAACTCCCAGAGGAGAGCATGTGTTCAGCCTAAAACCATATTGTTTACACAAACAATTCAGGCATATAGTGAGCTATTATTGTCAGGGAATGATGGGAACCCTTCAGAAATCAAAGTTCACAGATGCAAGCCAAGAGCTTACCTTACAAGAAGCAGGCCTTTCTGAGGCTAACAGTCTCAGGTTTACTTTTAACTCTTTTATGCATAGTATCTTACACTATGGACTCGCATTAAAAAAGGCTTTTAAGCAGTGTTTCTCGAAGTTTGGCCTAGTGATAGGATTTCCATTTTTCATCCAACATAGAACACTTTTGACAGTGAGAGGCTCCTCCCAGAGGGATATTGGAACAACTGGCATAAATGGACACAGTTATATTATCCTGTAGACTGCCTGCATCAGAATATCTTAGACTTCTTGTTAAAAATGGAAACTTCTTGTTAAAAAAGATATCAGAAATATCTTAGACTTCTTGAGCCCTGTCATATTTACAGAAGCCACATGTTCAATATTTCCTCTATTTGTTTATCCTCTAAATCCTGTTTTTCCTGGTAACACCTGTTAATGTCTTATGTAACCTGTGTTCTAGACAGTACAGCATGGAAAATTCTGGCCTCAGAAAAGTAGCATTGGTAAAGGGAATATTTTCCAGGGGTGCTTTCTATTAATAATGTAATATGAATGGAGGCCCCTTGTAGAAAGGAGGAATGTATAGCTGCTGTACTGCTATGAGAAACTTGAAGAACTGTTTCACCTTGTTTATTGTTTTTTCATATGTCTCTCTTTCTGACTTGTTTAGTTTTTTGTTTATTTTTGAAAAAAAATTTTTTAAATTGTTTTAAATGTTTATTTACTTTTGAGAGAGAGAGAGAGAGCGCGCACACACGCACACACAAGTGGGGAGGGACAGAAAGAGATAAGGAGACACGGAATCCGAAGTAGGCTCCAGGCTCTGAGCTGTCAGCACAGAGCCCAATGCGGGGTTCAAACTCAGGAACTGTGAGATCATGATCTGAGCGGAAGTCGGACGCTTACCCAAATGAGTCACCTAGTTGCCCTTTGACTTGGTTAGTTCTAATGCATTCTCCTATATTTATTAATGTGTTTGGTGCCAGACCAAATTCATGAAACCAAAACATGAATGTATGTTGGAATTTTGAAAGAAGGAATAAAAGTGGCTTTAGACTAATAATGTTAAAATGAGAACACTTGTCTAAATGTTTTTTCACAGCTGTTACTATCTAAGGTAAACATTTTTGAGTCTTGTTTGAATTTAACTTTCAACAAGCCTTTTTTCTATTGTTAAATGAAATGATTGTACTTCGAAATGTATATTTTTAATGCTTTTAGAAGAAAACACTTTTCTGTTTTAATATCAGTTAAGTCACTGAAATAGTAATATGGCAAGGAATAACTTGCTAAACTTAGCAAATTTTTCTTTGTATATCAGATCACAAAGGAGGAAGAGCGAGAGAAGAAGTTTTCCAGAAGGCTAAATCATAGTCCTCCCCAGTCAAGTTCCCGATACAGAGAAAATAGGTGATCGATTTATTGAACCATGTTCACTGTTCAGACATTGGATATCTTTTATATGAATGCTTAGACTGATTATCTTTTGTTTAGGGGCAAGTAGTGTGTACTCTTCTATTGGTCTAGGACAGTGCAACTCAGTCCTTTCTTACCAAGAGTATTTGTGTCAGATTTGTAGGTTCTGGAAGTGATGTTTAGAAAAGTGCTTGGCATGCATTAATTATTGCTGTTGTTTTTATTTCCATCTTCAAATTCCAGTGAAATCTTAGTGTGAGAACGTTTTCTGCATGAATTTTTCCCTTTAGTGTGAATAAATTATTTTTCCCCACTAAGGCTTCAAAAGCATTTAGAGGCCAATTATATGTGATACATGCCTGTAAGTATGAGTTATATGTACAAGATTGTATGTTCTATACGACAGGATGTACAGATGCTAAATATAAAAATGTCTTTGTGTATAAGACAAAGGACTGAGTTATTTGGGAGGTTTTTTTTTTCCTTTAAAGGGTTTTAGAGTTCTTGAGCAGATCATGTTCAGTTTTTTCAGTTTGAGTTTCCTATATTTGCGGTAGGTTAAAGAATCATAACATTATAAGAATTAAATAATACTTTTGCATTTAGTGATTCTTTTCCTGTATCCACTTAAAAATTATTTTCCTAAAAGCGATCATTTATTTCTTTAGAAGTCGTGATGAGAGGAAAAAAGATGATCGTTCTCGCAAAAGAGATTATGATCGAAACCCTCCTCGAAGAGATTCATACAGAGATCGGTACAATAGAAGACGAGGCCGAAGTCGCAGTTACAGCAGGAGTCGTAGTCGAAGTTGGAGTAAAGAGAGACTTCGTGACAGGGATAGGGATAGAAGTAGGACTAGAAGCAGAAGCAGAACACGAAGCCGGGGTAAATAATTCATATATATGTATATTCTGATTAGCATTCTTCTATTGTGAAAAAACTGTATTTGAGTGTTTTAAAAACAGTTTTAATTTTTGTTAGTGTTGTCTTCATTTTTTCCATTTTGATGTATTTTGTGGTCCAAGTGAATGGTTTTTTAAAAATTTCTTCTAAAATTTTTATTTCATGCACATTTTAACCACAGTGAATCACCACTGCATGCCTTTCAGAATGACTGAAAGTGAAAAGGCTGACTCTATCTAGTATTAGTAAGGATGGAGATAAACTGAACTCTTTGGAACATACTTTTATAGTATCTTAAAAATTAAATCTATACATACTGAATGACCCAGCTATCCTAACGCCTGAGTATTTATGTAAGAGAAACAGAAGTGTATTTCTACGGAGACTGTACGTGAGTGATCATGGTACGTTCGTTTGCAGCAGCCAAACAGTAGAAACAACTCGGATGTCATGTGAATGGATAAACTGATGCATCCGTACAGTGGATGAAAAGAACAGAACTTTGGATAATGTGTGTGACACAAGGATGGATCTCAAAATAATACTGCTGAGTGAAAGAAGCTAGACGAGAAAGAATATATTTATATATAAAATTTTAGAAAATGCAAATTAATCTATGGTGATAGGAAACAAATCCGTGGTCACCAGGCATGGAGTAAAGGACAGATGACTTATTAAGGAGCAAAGGGTACTTTTGGGGGGTGATGATTATGTATTAGTGTGTATATTATTTTGGTTACAGTGTTTGGTTTCACATGTGTATACATAGATACGATTCATTAAATTGTATAAATGTATTCAGTTTATACCTTAAAATTAAGAAAACAATTAAATTTCTCATTTCAGATGTGTGTATTTGCAAGAGCATGTCATTTCCAACATGTATAATTTTTCCTCCAGTGTGTGTTATTGAAAGGAAGAAACCATAGGAGATAAAAACAACTAATTTTTTAGATTTTTTGCTACTCTTTCAGCCTATATTGTACAGTCACCTTTAGTTATTGGGAAACAATATTTATTTCTATTATACCAAGTCTGCGTTTAAGCTTTATACTTCTCTGTTACTTTTTTCTTAGTGTTTTCCTCCTCTGTGATCTAGGTGTACTAGGCCTTTCCACATATCGCTTTACGTAACTAGTCTCCTTAATCCTTTTCTCTTTCCTTGGGACCATAGACAGCCTAGCTAATGTTTTTGTTCATGTTTAATATGAACTTTTTTTCCTTCCTCTTCGCTCATCCATTTCTATCTTCAATAAATAGCTTTCACCATTAATATTATTAATAATGTATGGTATTTATTAAAAAGGCATGCTAGGAACTTTAGGTAGATGACAAATGTTCATCACAGAAAAAATAACCATATTTTAGTTGTATGTTTTGTGGGCTGAAGTTATGCATACTAAGACTGTAGTGAAGAAAATAAATCTCTTTTTTTCTGTAAACAGAAAAAATGTTCATTAAGTATAGCAACATGATATGTAATTTTATAGTATAGGTCATATTGAAAAGAAACCACTGATCTTGGAACATTGTATATTCATTTAGTAGTTTTCAAAAGAAAAGGAGGACTGTGTAAAATATGAACATTTTTTTCTGTTCAGCAAAATTACCACTGTTTTGTAGATCTGGGACTTCTTTTTAATAGAGTATAATTTTATAAGTCATTTATATTTTGTTGCAGAAAGGGATCTAGTAAAACCTAAATACGACCTGGATAGAACAGATCCACTAGAAAACAATTATACTCCAGTCTCTTCGGTACCCAATATATCATCTGGTCACTACCCTGTACCTACTTTGAGCAGCACTATTACGGTAATTGCTCCTACTCATCATGGTAATAACACTACCGAAAGTTGGTCTGAATTTCATGAAGACCAAGTGGACCATAACTCATATGTAAGACCACCCATGCCAAAGAAACGGTGTAGAGACTATGATGGTAAGTCTTTCTAATGTTTCATGATGTTCTGAGTCAGTATTTCCAGTTGACAGCATTCCATGAGTCTAGATTTTATAGTTACTCAAAGATAATTAATGTATTGGAAATGGTGGTAAATTAGTCTTAGGCACTTCTTGAATTCCTCATATTATTTAAACCTTCATTAGTCACCACTGACTGTTGTATACCAATTTAAAGATATTGCTTATTTACACATAAATCTTAATATATTTTTGAAGTTTACCAAACAAAAATATTTACTGAGTTATTTGAGAAGCTGCTACTGAAACATTCTTGACAAAACTTACTTCTTTAGAAGTAAATAGTTATTGGCATGTAAGCAGAACCTAGACATGTGACTCTCACCTGTATAAGAATTTTATTAATGAAGACTCTTAAAGTTTTACTGTAAAAGTTTTATAATTTGTATTAAGGCTGTAGTTGCAATAGTCTTAAAGTTTTTGGTGAGATTTAAATGAAATATTTCTAGTGACAAAAAGTATATGTACTATATAATATGTATATTATGTTATAAAAGTTATATATTATGTCTTGCTAGCTAAGTAGACTTATTTTAATTTGGTGATGTATTTTTTAATGTGTGTGTTAGCTATATTATCTACTTCAAAATTATATTACTGGAAATTAGCTCTTATATAGTTAAACTGGCCCAATATTAAAATTTTTTTATTTTTAAAGGTCTTGCCTTTGATAACTTATAGAAAATTTATATATCCAGCACTTAACCATATTTTTAATTATTCTTCCTTACAGAAAAAGGTTTCTGTATGAGAGGAGACATGTGCCCTTTTGACCACGGAAGTGACCCCGTAGTTGTAGAAGATGTGAATCTTCCTGGCATGCTGCCTTTCCCAGCACAGCCTCCAGTTGTTGAAGGACCGCCTCCTCCTGGACTTCCCCCACCTCCACCAATTCTTACACCCCCACCTGTGAATCTGAGACCCCCAGTGCCACCACCAGGCCCATTACCACCCAGCCTTCCACCTGTCACAGGTAAGTAACTACATTTGCTTGCTGGTGACTAATATCTGTCTCTTCATAGTCTTTACAAAGTTAATGGTTTGATGCTTGCTTTTGTTAAAAAATATCTAAAGTAATCCTATAGTTGCCTGCTAAAAACTAAGAGCAAGGTACTCTTACTTAGAATATACTCTGACTTCGCAGGCTTTGCCAGACCTATGGTTTACTGTGGTTTGGAGTGGCCCTGACTTAATGCATGTCCCTGATGAATCCCAGCTGCCAGTAGTCCTTTATAGCTTATAAGACAAACCTGTTTTTGGTATACATTAACAGGATATCTTACCTTAGAAAACTAATACAGTTGTAAGAACTTGGGAGTTTGTAGATATTATAATTGTGCTGATAAATGAGAATATCATGTTTGGATATATAGTAACTTATTTTATTTGTTTGCTTTCAGATGATATTTCTTATTCTTTGGTTTTGACAGGACCACCACCTCCACTTCCTCCTTTGCAGCCATCTGGCATGGATGCTCCCCCAAACTCTGCAACCAGTTCTGTTCCTACCGTAGTAACGACTGGCATCCATCACCAGCCTCCTCCTGCTCCACCCTCTCTTTTTACTGCAGGTGCAGTTTTGCCCCTCTTTGTATTCATAATGTAATGAAGTTTTAGAGCAGAGTTTTACGTAGGAATATAAAAACGTCTAGAGACTGACTAGCTCTATTAGGTTTATTTTTCTCACTAAAATCCTATAGAATAAGATGTAGATATAGCGAATGGATGTTAAATGCAAGTCCTCATTTATGATTTGTTTTAAAAACTGAGTTATATTTTGTTTAATAACATTTGCATTTTTATAAAACTAAATTTTCTTTTTGATACATACAGCATGTTAGCTGTATATTAGAATATGTTGTGTAATGTACTTTTTTTATGATCAATGTAAAAATATTACCAAGTGGCGTTTTATAATTGTTTTTTAATTACAGTTTTTGTATTACCAGATACATATGACACAGACGGCTACAATCCTGAAGCCCCCAGCATAACAAACACTTCCAGACCTATGTATAGACACAGAGTGCACGCACAGAGGCCTAACTTGATAGGACTGACATCAGGGGATATGGATTTGCCACCCAGAGGTACCCCGGTTAATCTTCTCTTCTTATCATTTTCATATCATGAATGGCAAGACATTTGTAAAGATTGTGGTCTTGCATTTATTGGGGTTGAGAAAGGGATGGTGATTAAGTTTATTCCTCTGATGCTTTGGTCTCTCTTAAGAGAAAAGGTAGTGTGTGATTCTCTATTTCTGTTACTGGTGCCACTTTATTCTGCCACCTAAGGGGAAAGGAATTTCCCAAAAGTACATATTTTCTAAGGTAGCTTTTTGGGGTATTTTCTATCATTTGCAGTCTTAATTGGTTCATTTAAACTCTTGAAAATAATGCTTAATTCCTGAAAATAGATATTTTTTTCATAGATTGAATAATGAAATCAGCTTTACAAACTTGTGGTTGATACGCATTTTACATGTGTTGAATTTGTTACGTTAAGCAAAAGGAATTATTTTTTAGGAAGTGACTCATTAGCTTCTAAAATTCTCTTAGAGGAGACAGACTATATGATAAGATTTCTAAATGAGAGAAGACGATAAGAGTTTTGATGATAAAGTCAGAAGCTGGGGGGACCTATGTATAGACTGCTGGGAGCAAAACTGCTGTCCTGGGGGTGCAAACTGATAGGAAGGTTCAGAGGAGGGAGAGCACTGGTATTTGTTTGAAAGAGGGAGCGTTTGCTACAGATAGTATTTGACATCAGGGGATGAGGGATTGTTAGACATAATGGAAAATATTATGCAGGCCAATACTTATAGATCTTTTTCCTTAATTCAACTAATTTTTAAATCCCGTTTTCTTTCTAGTCTTGCCTTGCTGTCTTTTTTTTCTAGTCAAAAAAAAAAAAAAGTCATGCCTCATTAATCACAAATAAAATAACCCAACTTGTTAATTAACAGTCAATACCTAATGTGGTTTAGTAAGCTTGTGATTACTATACTTTGCATTTTTTGATTTGTTTGTTGAAACTATCGGATTCTGAGCATCTAACTTCAGTGTTCAAAGCACTTTTTATAATAGAGAGATGAGGAACATTATAATTTATATCCAGTTTAATTTATATCGTCTTTGACATCAGAGGAAAGCATTTCATGTGGATGCCACCTTTCCCTTCATACCTTTTAAATTCTCATTGAGGAATTCTAATAGCTATCATTAACAACTAGAGAAGAAAAGATTTTTTAACAGTTTTATATAAGGGACATAAGATTTCTCATAAATGAAAGTTATAAGCCACTTAAGATTGTGGCTCTTTATCCCTCAAATCTCTTACTTGACTAGTTCAGAGAAAACCCTTTTTTTCTTTGGTCACTCACTACTTAGCACGTATTTTCTTTTCATCATGCCAGTCAACACTTCTTGCTCTTACTGGAACCTCCCACGTGAAGTCATCTCTTAACTTGCTGCTTTGGAATGTCATAAATATATGCTACTACAGATCAGTCTTCACTAGACCCATTCCAATGCCAGGCAAACTTTTTTGTTGGTTATTAAGGAAAGGAAGAAGGACCACACTCCCTGCAAACAATCTTGCAACAATGTAGAAGTTGCACTGAGGGTAGTTTCAGCTCCACATGCATGTAGTTACAAGTTACAGGAAGTGGCCCTGTTGAGAGAGAAATGTCTAGTATATATGGTTAGAAATTTAAATGCCCTTTCCTATAGAATCATTGTACGTAGTGATTATTTTAGTACTGTTCTTCAGAAACACCCTGTACTATTTTTGTGACCTGGTTTAGGAATATATTTTCCAGTAATAACATTGTTTCTCGGTACCACAGAACTGATTTAGCAGCCCATTTAAATTGAGTAGTACTTATACTTCTATTTTCTCAACTCTTGTCATTCTTTCTCCCCCTAAGAAGTTTTCATCTTTTGCCTATTTGGTTTGAAATTTATTGTCCTGGATGCATAATTAAAAGTTTTTAATATTGTTTATTATATAATACTGTATGTACATTTCTTATAGTCTGTAGATGGCCTTAATTTAAATTTGTCACAGACTATTATGTGATAATTATACCATTATGTTTCATACTTTAAACTTATGAGGAATTCTCATTATTAAACAAATGAAAAAATATAGGCGCATTGATGCCTTAGAATTCCTAGTATAAAAGGGACCGAGGGGCTCTGAGAATTGTTCTTTTCAGGTTTCTAAGGTGGTAGAGAATTTGATGGATGTTCCCTTCACTGGATATATATAGAAATAAGGGCTGAGTGGTTTTTCATTTGCTGTCGGCAAAAAAAAACCAATTGATTAAAAGGATATTGGGGGAAAAACTCAGTACATATAACTAATAGACACGTTTGCTAATTATATACCAAGAAGAATTTGCTTTTGTTTAACAGTCTTAAATAAATAACAATGAAAGAGAATCTGATAGAGAACATAGATGAGTTGGAACAAACACATCACAGTGTCTGGGGGGAAAACTTACTACTGTCTCTCTTAGTGAACCTTCAAGTAAAGAACATAATAAAGTAAAAAAGGATATTAGATAGCTCAAAGACTTCAAAAAATCTAGTGAGCCAGGCTTGGGAGACAGGAGTAAGGTCAAAAATCCTGTTGCAGAGTCCTGCAAATCGAGAGAAGATAGGAGAAGAAGGTGATCAACAGCATTTAATACTCTTGAGAGGTCAAATAAGAGAAGGATTGGGATTTATTTATAAGCTTAAGCAACAAGTTAGGACATCAGGGAATTTAGGATGAACAAGTTCAGTTCAGTAATGGAAGCAGCTGCCAATTTCCAGAGGAAATTGGTGGTAGGGAAGCAAGTTAGCAAATGTAGGCAGACACCTCTTAGGAAATAGCTGGGGGGGG